TGACCATTGTTAGTCTTGTATGTTTTTTAAATTTCGGTTCATTTACCAAGACCTTGTGGATAAATATTCCGTATCAACTTCACAAATAATACATGATGGTCTTGAAGTATAGATTCTAAGTACTGACGTAGTTTATTATCTCAATGTCACGTGTTATAGTGTTCTTTTATTTGCCTTTGTAAATCATTAACCTTTATTTTTTAGTCCATTTTTTGGAATATTCTTTTGGCGTAGCTAGGTATTTATACATCCCGCCATTGTGTTATTATGCTATGTTCAATATTTGTATTCTTGTCTTTCATTTTTTGCTTATGTGCTTTGTCTATATGCCATTTTGTTTTTCTTTGTTGACATATTTTGTTTGTTTTGTTAAAGTGATTAATATTGTGTTGACTGCTGTACCCCTATTTTTGACATTTTTACCTATTATGTCTGTTTTTTGTTGTTGTTCGCACATTGTTGTCAATATAATGGAATTTTATGCGACTGTCGTACAAGTGAGAGGTTTAGCTAGCTATAAAACCAGGTTTAATCCACCATTTTCTACATTATGAAATACCTGTCCGAAGTCAGGAATATGACAGTTGTTTTCCATTCGTTTGATATGTTTGAGCTTTTGATTTTGCCATTTGATAAGGGACTTTCCGATTTGAATTTTCCTTGGAGTACGGTTTTTTTTTATTTTACTTTTTTATATGTTTTGGAGTTCAGTGTGACGTCCATTTTCTCTGAACTAGTACACATTTTTGTTTAGGGGTCAGCTGAAGCCCGCTTCTGGGTGCGGGATTTTCTTGCTGTATTGAAGACCCATTGGTGGACTTGGGATTTTTTCAGCTCTTTGGTCGGGTTGTTCTCTTTTTCACACATTCCCCGTTTCAATTCTCAATTATAGACATAATATGTAAAAATGTCAAAAATAGGGGTACAGCAGTGAACATGGTGTTATAATCTTAATCACTCTAAAACAAACAAATGTTTCAACAAAGAAAAACAAAATAGCATATAGACAAAGCACATAAGCAAAAATGAAAGACAAGAATAAAAAAATGACCACAGCACAATAACACAAAGGCGGGATGTATAAATAACGGGTCACGCCAAACAGGATATTCACAAAAATGGACTAAACAGTAAAGGTTAATAAGTGGCAAAGAAAGACAAATAAAAGAACACTATAACACGTAGTTAAGATGATAAACAACGTCAGTACCTAGAATATTTACTCTAAGACCATCATGTATTATTTGTGAAGTTGATACAGAATATTTATCAACAAGGTCTTGGTATCTTCCGATGAACTTTTTTAGAATAAGGACGCGACATTCTTTTACACAACCCTGGTTCATCAACTTTCTGCTCAGACAATGGTGACGTTTTATAAAGACTGAGAAGCAGCTGCAAGCTCTTGAATACCGAATGAGTTGGGAAATGCATATCCCATATGCAGATGAAGTTGGTATATTGCTACTAAGGTGGAGGAGATTGATAATTTCAAAATTCAAATCGTCTTGTTTGTCATAGATTCTGGTACTGAGATGACCGCTTATGTCAAAATCGAATTATAGTATAAAAATGAGGCCGAGGAAGCCGTGTCTGTTGTTTCTTTAATTTCTAGTTCTTGGGGATATATTAATGGAACCGAATCAGAAATGTTTGGATTGTTAATGGAAAGAACATCATCAATATATCTGAATGTGAAATTAAATGATCTGGCTTCTTTGTATGCCATTTATATGTCAACATAAGTATATTTGTTCCTTCTAACAGAGATTCTTCTGGAATTAATGTTATAAACAAAGTATACTATTTGTTCCTGTTGGATTAAATATTATATACATATACCATTCTTTTCTTTGTTTCTTTATACCATGTGACTTTACCTATTTGAAAATTAAAGGACACCATTGAAAATGATCATCACTTTATAGTTTTGATTATAGATTTTATATCATTTTATAAGTAAACTTACTTATATTCATAGATGATTTTGGAAATGAAAGTTATTATTACTAGATCTTTTTAATTTTTTGTTATTTTGTCTTTGATTTATTAAGGTTCATGTGGACCCTTGGTCTAAAATGGCAGTGTTTTCACCTGAAAATTTACTTTGAGTACAGACAAACCTGTGTATCTGGAAATGATTTAAGGCATAGCTTGCCCTAGATTGATTAAATGCAGATGCATTTTATGTTCTAGAAAATCAAAAACTTAAACTGGATATTGCTTGCAGTGCACTTTTTTTCGTTCCTACACGGTGCTAAAATAAACAAAGATGGGAAAAGGGTTGAGGACTTCCCCGTAGGTAATAATTGGAGTGAGCTGTATTGATTGAGATGGACATTAGACACGGCTGTCATTCGGTATATCGAGAAAAATGATCGTGAAAGAATAAGTAACGGTGGTCAAGCATTGTGATTCGACCGTGAAAGATCTGGTATATTATCGTGAAGTAAATTTTATCGAGAAACATGCAACGTCAGTACATAATCTAATTTAATCAATTATAATGACAAATATTGGAAAAATAAAACTGTCTGTCAAAATGGTTCAACAGTATGATCATTATCCAAGAAAAATCAAGTTTTAAAAGTACACTGTTTTTGCAATACTACAAAGGTAGATTGCTCATTGAAATTTCAGAGAAACAAAAATGTAAACAAACCTGATCTTTTTCGAATTTTTAATGCATAAACTACTTTTTTCTTAAAAATATCGTTCAATATTACTGTTTTAACTAGTTCCAAAAGTTATTTTGATTTAGTTTAATCAAAAACTTTGCAAAAATAGTAATATTTGTAAAAAAATTCAGTACAGCATTTTGATAGTGAAAAAGATCGTGAAAGATCTGTTGCCACTTATTCGTTATTGCTAATTGGGTGAGCGGACATAATTGGTTAACGTGACAATATCTGGGACCCAGCAACCAAAACTGTGCAAACATACATCACAGACATTCAACACAACTGAATTTAACGTCCAAGCACACTTACAATTAAATGAAACAAAGACGCCAAAAAAAACATATTTTTTAGTTGATAATGCAGTCAGTATGATAAAACATCATTACAGAGCCCCTTCAGTGTCATGTCAATATGAACATTTTCGTTTGCCGGAGATTTAATCTGGTTTGCACGACTTTGAAACTCTAGCGCATGACTTTCAAACTTGTGCACATGACTTTCAAACTGGCGCGTACGACTTTCAAAATGGTGCGCAAGACTTTCAAAAATGGTGAGCACGACCTTCAAAATAGTGCGCATATCTTGGAACTCGTGCACACCAGTTTGAAAGACGTGAGCACCAGTTTGAAAGTCGTGCGCACCAGTTTCAAAGTCGAGCGCAGGAGTTTTGAAATGTCATGCGCACGAGATTAAACAGTCGTGCGCACGATTTTTCAAACTAGTGTTCACTAGATTAAATCTCCGGCAAACGAAAATATTTATATTTACATGGCACTTAAGTGGCTCCGTAAGGGGTTCCTTTCATAATGACATATGCACTTTCCCGATAAACTACAAAATAAGTAAAATATAAAAACAAGGGTATACAAAATGAAAACAACACTGTAAAAACATGTGTCCGAATCGCATCTCTGGACCCGCCCGCATAAGGAACGCCAAAAACCAAAAGCCTGAAAGCTGGATTCACATATGCCGATCCACGTCAAGAGGCACACGATCAAATGGAACATAATAGTACAAAGACAAATAAAGGTAAAACTATAAAGTAGATAAAATGCTATACAGAATCAGCACCTAGAATCTATAACTCAAGACTATCCTGTATTATTTGTTAAGTAGACACTGACTATTTATCTATTAGGTATTGATACTTTCTATTGATTTTTTTTTGTGAAAAAGGACGAAACGTTCTTTCACTAAACCCTGGCTCATTATTTTTGGTCAGGTACTGATAACATTTTACAAACTCTTAGTAGTAGCTGCAAGCTGCTGAAAATCGCATGAAATGTACACACCATATGAGGATGCAGTTGGTAAATCGCTGTTAAGTTGATAAAAATATATAATTTCAAAATTGAAATCATCTCGTTTGTCATAGACAAATCGGGGTATATGTCTAAACATGAGGCCGAGAAAGCTGTATATGTGGTGTCCATGACTGTTAATGGGACTCAATCAGAAAAGTTTGTATTGTTAATGGAAAGAATATGTTCAATACACCTGTATGTAAAATTAAATGATATAGCTTCTTTGATCTAATCCTTACGTAAACAAACACGTACACATCAAAATATTTCCAGGGGAAGACCACCAGACCCCCTCTCGCTTCACTCATTCGTGGATGCATTTATCATTATATATGCAAAGATATTTACTGTTCGATAATTTACGCTCCTGGATGTCTTGTTATCTTGGATGCCTAGTTACATGTAGCATTGTGTCTTAAATGAAAACAGGTATAAATATGAGTATATATATGTCATCAGATTTGATGTGGCGGCATGGTAATTAACATTATTATGTTTTGCGACAGACAAAAGAGCTGATCTGAAATGTACACCATCTACTTGCCACTAAACATCATGTACAACCCTAGATAAAGCCGAAGAAGGAAAGGCATTACATCGACCAGCGAAAACTATATTTTTATGTAGTCCAGGTGGTCGAGTGGTCTAGGGCGCTGGACACGGTGCGGGCGGTATTGCCGCGATGTTTCAGAAGCAAGGGTTCGAATCCCGCTGCGGGAAGAACATTGAAGATATAACAAATTTGAGACGAATTATATATATATATATTACCAAAAAAAAAGCATGAATTTACGTTCTTCTTAAGTTATTACACGCTTCAACCAATTATAAGTATATAAATTGATTAAAGAAATGTGGTTTTCTTATCATTCAGTCTGGTCACGTCATGTCTTTCACGATCAAAATATTGCGTTGGATGATCTTTCACGACCAATTTTGATTAAAAATACAGACGCACTATAAGCAAGCTTTTCATGCTTTTAACATGATGAGTTTCATAACAAGACAAAGAGGTTCTGAAAAGTTTTATTCAAATATAATAAAAATATTATATATATATATATATATAGTTATTTATCTTTTTGCAAAATGCACATCTTGGTAGCCAACAATTCAGGAAAATAAGAAAATGAAAAAATCGATAAAAAAATACATTTTTTGGGGAAAATAAGAAATATTCTTATTTTGAAAGTAACAATGAGAAAGACCTTTATAGATGAAGAAAATCTTTCAATTTTTAGCTCACCAGGGCCCGAAGGGCCCCATGTGAGCTTATGTCATCAATTGGCGTCCGTCGTCGTCCGTCGTCTGTCGTCGTAAACTATTTCAAAAATCTTCTCCTCTAAAACTACTGGGCCAAATACCTTTAAACTTTAACTAAATGTTTCTTAGGGTATCTAGTTTATAAATTGTATCCGAAGTTTTGATCCATCGACAAACATGGCCACCAGACGAATCGAACAACCTATTGTTGGGTTGCTGCCACTAAATTGGTAGTTTTAAGGATATTTTGCAGTTTTTTGTTATCTTGAATATTATTATAGATAGATATAAACTGTAAACAGCAATAATGTTCAGCAAAGTAAGATCTACAAAAGAGTTAATAAGACCATAATTGTCAATTGACCCCTTAAGGAGTTATTGCCCTTTAAAGACAATTTTACACAATTTGTTCATCAAGTTTGCTAACATTTAAAAATCTTCTCCTCTGAAACTACTGGGCCAATTACCTTCAAACTTTAACTAAATGTTCCTTAGGGTATCTTGTTTATAATATGTATCCAAAGTTATGATCCATTGACAAACATAACCGCCATGGCTAAAAATAGAACCTAAGGGTCAAATGCAGTTTTTGGCTTATATCTCAAAAACTAAAGCTTTTAGAGCAAATCTGACATAGGGTAAAATTGTTCAACTGGTCAAGATCTATCGGCCCTCAAATTATCAGACGAATCGAACAACCCATTGTTGGGTTTCTGCCACCAAATATGTAGTTTTAACAAAACTTTGCAGTTTTTTGTTATTATCTTGAGTATTATTATAGATAGATATAAACTGTAAGCTGCAATAATGTTAAGCAAAGTAAGATCTACTAAAAAGTTAATCTGACCAAAATTGTCAATTGACCCCTTAAAGAGATATTGGCCTTTAAAGACAATTTTAAACAATTTGTTCATCAAGTTTGCTAACATTCAAAAATCTTCTCCTCTGAAATACAGGTGAGCGATTCAGGCTCTTGAGAGCCTCTTGCTTGGTATTGTTATCAATTGTCTCCCCTACTTGAATTTAAAGAAAGGAATTACAATGCCTCCCAAAATTTCAAGAGAAAAACAGGATATAATTCTGAAAGTGTATAATTATTTGGGGTCAAAGCGAGGAGGTCCATTTCATTCCTGTAATAAAATTACAAAAAGAACTGCTCAATGTTTAAAGATAAGTGAAAGTTTTATTAAAAAATTAATTAACAGGCCATGAGAAAATCTGAATTCAAAAATTGCAGCCAGAAAGGATACGCTTGACTGACTAGTTTGACAAAGATTTGATAAAGAATACTGTTCACCAGTTATTCGAAAAAATGAATGTGTTACCTTAACAAAACTGCAAAATCTTTTGGAGAAAGACCATGATATTGTTTTCATCAAAATACAACTATGGAAAACATTACATGGATAAGGATTCAAACATAAAAAACTTGAAAAAAAAAACAGAAAAGATCTTGTGGAGGGAAAAGACATAATAAATCATTAATCATAAATCAGTTAGTTCCCGCTTTGTCCCCAATAAGTATTGTATTCATGGACAATGCGTCATACCACAGTGTCCGTGTTGAGGGTACAAAAACTCAAAAATCTAACTCGAGAATAGCCGATCTGAAGGAGTTTTCTAAATAAACTTGGTGTCGATTTTGACAGCAAGTTTACAAAACCAAAATTTCACCAAATAAATAAATCTAAGAAACTTTATCCTGTACATAAGGTAGATGAATTCCTCAAAAAGAAAGGACATGAAGTACTTAGACTCCCCCCTTACCATTGTGATTTGAACCTTATTGAACTTGTAGGGTGTGATTTGAAGGGATTTATTGGTAAATAGAATTGAACATTTATACATAATGATGTTAAATCACTTATCCAAAAAGGATTTGAACAAATTGATAGTGTTAAGGGTTAAAATCTTGTAATCACGTTAAAACATTATTGAACCGAGCTATTGCAAAATGATGCAATCTAGGAGGAAATTCAATTGTTATACACATTCAATCTGATTCTGAATCTGAGAGTGAAAAAGACAAATTTAGTGATGGAGATGAGACTGAAGATTATGAATGGCCATACATATAAATTTGATGTGAGTAATTTGTTTTCCTTGCCCTAAACTTAAACATAAAAAGTAGATAAATTCTTTAATAACTCATGTCTACTAACTTAACATGAAAGTATATATATAACAGAAAATGCTATATTCATTTTCATTTCATTTGCCTATAAAGTACTGTTTTATTAGTTTATACTATATCTAATATTTTCTAAAAAGAAAATGGACAATGCGATAAGCTGCAAAAATTTCTTAATAGCATCCGATTTTACCTGGATGGCTGCAGGCGCCTGATGAGGTTAATTTGTTTATCGAAAATATTGCGTGAATATATAAAATATAACAACTATTTTTATAACACTCATTAGCGTTAAAGTTACATTATTAGGCATTTATATAATTTAATTTAGTAACTGTATCAGTGTATTTTCAAACTTACATCCCAACTCCTTTGTTCTAACAGTGGTGATCTGAGTCGGATCACCCCTACCAGATTAGCCTACCTGGAGTTTCTTTGTTCTGCATGCTTTCTTTTGTTCTGTAACATTTTGGCGGGAATGTTGAACACACAATAAAACTGAGAAATATTTATTCGGAATAAAGACTAACTTTCAAAATTTATGTAGAAAAAAATCCACTAAATTGCCAGTGTCTATGCGGGGAATCGAACTCAAGACCGTAAGCACGATTCATACCCCTACACCATGACGACTGGATACAAACTCACTGTTAATTTAACATATTTAAACATTGTATCCGGGGCTCATTAAGGGTATATACTATATAGTAATATATGAATTATATTATAATTATCATATGGCATTCTGAACTAGATGTTATGAAGCGTAAATGTTTTTTTCATATAGTCTAGAAGAGATGGGATGTAAAATAGTTATCCCACTCGGACTTGGTGTGTCAGTGTAAGATCACCCTCTGGCCTCTGGCCATCGGGGTGATCTCACACTGACACACCGAGTCCTCATGGGATAACTATTATTATTATACTTCATGTCAAAATGCCAGATTTTGATTGGTTAATACGAGGGAGACAATTTACTCTATCCTATGGTAAATACTCTATTACCCTATACGGAGACGCTTGATCAAGTGTGCGCTTTATTAAAAAGGGATGGTTGTTATGTACAAGACGTCATAGTTTATTACTTTGAATTTGAAATTTGATAGACAGTGATAACAAAACATTCAGTACAATAAATTAAATAACACATATCTGAGAGGGTTACCCCTCGAAAAGACAATGTTTTCTCGGGGTAACAATCTGCTCTATCACCCTCTCAGAAATGTGACATTTATATACTGATTCACGCCTAGATAGATAGAATATTGATTTCTGCTATTTTTAGACACTATATATAAGTGCCTAGAAAATCAACCTAACAATGTATATATATATTCATGTATGGAACGGCACAGCTGCCTTATAATAACGATAATCATATCATTAAGGTTACAATTGCGCAATTTTTTACAATGCATTTTCCATCGGGTACCATGTCTCTTTGAATCCTAATAGAAAAAAACTATATAAATTGCAGAGAAACGAAAGCCAGAATTTGAAAGTAGACACAATAAGAATTTATTTCAGTGAAAAAAAAACCAATATGCTCATGAAGCGGAAATAGCCATAAATAGCAGTTGTTATGGACGCTTCTAAAATCCGCACTTAATGACATAGCAAAATTTTTAGTTAGCCTATTCCCCCCAAAAAACATATTTTTACAGAAAATTTCAAATCAATCATTCCAAATTGTAATTATTTTTGCACATAAATGGTTTATCTATCATAAAATTAATAAATTAAAGGCATACCATCCAATCAGAAGCCTCACAAATTTTTATTCCTACTACCATCTTGGCTTCAAAAACTTCCCGGTGAAATGTAAACAAATAATTGCGCAATTGTTTTCTCAAGATAGACAAATATCAGCCTTTTTTTTTCTTTATAACAACATCCTTCAAATTTTGACGGGGCGTATAATGGTATATAAATGTTCGTCCATCTGTCTGTCGTCGTAAACATGTCTTAAGAATTCCTTGCTTGATGAACTTCTAACTTTACGCAGTTGTTGCAATGATAGTCTAACAGTCTGTATATTTTTTGGTGAAATTTTGATTTTTCTTCCAGAGTTATGGAATTTATTCTTTCAAAAAAGAGGGAGGCAATTTTTCACGTGTCGCACAGTATCTTGAGAATGCCTTGCCCGATTAACTTTAAACTGTACTCAGTTGTTTGTGGTGATGGTGTCAAGGTATTTATACTTTTTGGTGAAATTTTAACCTTTCGTTTTAGCTTTAATGGACTTTATTCATTAAACAAAAAAAAAGGGCGGGGGGTGTCACGTGGCACTTTATCTTGATAATGCCTTGCTTGTTTAACTTCAAACTTGACACTGTTGTTTTTAATGATAGTCTAATGGCATAGCATAGTGAGGTGATAGGATAGTATGAAAAGGTGGTCACATATTATATCAAAATGTCTTTGTAGTATACAACTTTATCGTTGTAAGATAGTAATATGACAGAATAGTATGAAAAAGTAACTCCATGTTATATCGAGGTGATTGTACAGTATACAAATTTATCGTAATAAGATAGTAACATGACAGAATAGTATAGTGAGGTGACAAAATATTACGAAAAAGTTGCTCAATGTTATATTAAGATGTCTTTATATTATGAATTGCATCTTTATAATATAGCAATATCACATAATAGCAGGCCTAGGGCCATTACATTACAATTACTTTGTGATTCTTCCATTACAATTACAATTACATTTTTTCTCACATGTAATGCAGTACATTACAATTACTTTGCCTGTGTAATGCATTACATTACACATTACTTTTTCAATATAAAAACATTTAAAAAACAGATTTTTATAAGAAATTGATAAATATTACCGGGGTATATGTACATATATATACAGTGTTAGTGACATATGCTTCAAATACTTGAAAAATAAATAAATTATCATATAATTTTGTTTCTAACATTGATCACTTAATCATTAAGACATCATAAAGGGATTTCAAAGGGATATAATAAATGTGCAATTAAAGGATTATCTTGTTAAATGCCAAAGGGCTCTGAGAGGACAAACATAAGTTGAGAAGATTTGATTGCAATAAAAACATTTTGATATTAATTAGGTAAAATAACAACCACAGTTTGGTGTAAAAATGTTGATTGACATTTTCAACCTTTCATTGAAATACATGTAAGGTGTGTATAGAATTATGAAAATTTCATCTTCATATTTTGTCCATTCCTCTAAATAGTTTTGTTTAATAATTATTTTTAGAAGATTTTTTAAGGGCAAACTATCTATAATGATTTAATACAGTAATTAACTGTGACAATAATGTTATTCAATATTTTCTTTTGTTTTTGTTAATATTTTTATTTTACTATATTCTTCAATTTGTAATGAAAAGTAATGTACAGTAATGGAGGCATTACATTGATTTTTAACTAAAGTAATCATTACATTACATGTAATTGTAATGCAGAAAATGTGCATTACAAATTACTTTGCATTACATCAAAAAAATGTAATATTACAATGCATTGTAATTACAAATTACCATTACCCCAGGCCTGCATAATAGTATAGTAAAATGACAAATCAGTATGAAAAGGTAGCTCCATGTTATATCAAGATGTCCTCATTGTATAAAAAGAATATCTTCATGACAAAGTAAAATGACAGAATAGTATGAAAAGGTAACTCCATGTTATATCAAAACATCTTTTTAGTATATAAATTTATCTCAGTGATATAGCAAATTGACAGGGTAGTATAGTCAAATGTCGCGATAGTATAAAAAAATTGCATCATGTTATATCTCAACCCTTAAAGGGGCATTAGCTTCGAGCATAAAACAAAAATAACATATGATTTTTTTTTTGTTCAATCATTAATGAAAGTGAGATATTGAAATAATAATTCGCTTTAAGCAGCCAGTTTGGTTCAATTTTGTCAAAATAATCTGAGAAATATCGCTGATGAATTATTCACTTGCAAGTGAACAATTCGACCTCATTGAATACGTATTCATGTGACCTTCGATTTAACCCCTAAGTTAAAGATGGGTTACGCATGAATTAGGCTTGTTCAGTTATTAAAAGGAAAAGAATGTCAACATTGAAAGTGAAAAAAGGTTAAACCATTTGATTGACTGATTCGATCCGCACAAACTCATTCTTATACAGATAAAAACGATGATTAACATATATTTTTAAACTATAATATGAAATCAAAAAGATCTAGAAAAATATAATTGCACGAGTTTGCTATCTACTTATATCTATATTTATGTTTATATCGGGTTATATGACCGTCGGCAGTCTTCGGAGGTCACCTCGATGTTTAATTAGATGGCGTCGAACCTATGCATTGTTAATTGTTTATTTTAGACTTTCTATAATTTGGATATACGTTTCAGTATGTTATAAATCAGATATGAGAATTTGAGTCAAATCGGTGAACATGAATTTGACAGCTAATGCCCCTTTAATGATATGATTATCGTTATCATAAGGCAGCTGTGGCGTTCCATATTCTTGCATGGTATACACAATTAATATATGTACCATTGCTTTAATCACATACTTTGACCCTTACTTTTTTTTTTACTTTCATAGATATTCTCTTAAGTTAAATACATTTGTAATTTCCTATTTTAACCGATCACGATTCCATGTTTTCCTGTTTAATTATAATTATCATGTTCATAGATATTACTATAAGTACATTACAATAAGAAGTTTTTTCTTTACCATTTTTCAAGGAAAAATACCTTTTCATGTAAATACAATGTTTTCCTACTGCTTCTGACCAAAATATTTCCCTGATTCTACAATGACTATTTTGTCAGTTGGAGTGTAATCTCCAACTCTAGATTTAAGCCATTTTGCGAGTTCTATACGTCCAAATTTGATAGACGTTTCGAGTATTGTGGTCATAACAAATTGTGTTCTATCTATTTCACCGAGAAGCAATTCAACCAAATCTTTCCAACCAAATTGACAGGCAGTGTTGATTGCTTTGATTAAGTCTAATTTATCTTTTTCCTCTACCTTTACCATTAATAATTTTGCAATATCTTTCCTCCCCTTTTCGCAAACCTTTTTCATAGTAAATGTTAAGTCGAAATGCTGGTGGTCTACATTTTCTAACAAATAACCAGCTAGGTAAGAATTATTATCGCAACACGATAAAGTTAAAATGTATTTTAGCTGAAGATGAGTTTGATCGTCGACATTTTCAGTAAAATACTTCACGATATCTATATGATTTTTTTTGTATGCTAATAGGACAGAACCTTGTAGATCAAGATCTTCCTCTTCAAAATTTTCAAGTAGCCATTCAACATCTGTTATGTCATTTTCACGACAAGAGTCTTGCATTACACTTTGAAGAATAGTTTGAGCGTTTTTTACCTCTTCAAAAAGCCAAGTAGAGCACTGAACGTTTCTGTTTTTGCAAGCACCTTTCATGCACATAAGTAAATCGATATAATTTTCCAACTTATTAGCAGTTATTACTTGATAAATAATCTTTAATCTATGTGAGGTTCCTGTTGCACATGTTTCTTCAAATGCTTGTATGAGGGTTTTTCTACATTCATTGTTCACTTCTAATTCGACTTTGGTTTGAAGTGTAGTGGATATTCTTTCAACCAATGTTTCAACAACGTGGTCATTCTCCTTGCATGAGATGATTGTTTGCAAGAATACTGATGTAATGTTAAACATGGTAGATTTCGTTTCTGGTTTTGGATCTTTAAAGAATCGCATATTTAACTTTGAGCGTGACAGTATCTTCTTCATTTTGGATTCGTATTGGTCAATCATTACACATATCATCTCTTCCTGTGTTTGTCTTATTATTTCGGCCTCACAAATAATTTGGATAAAGCATTGTTTTCTTTTAGAGTATTCAGTTAACATTATTTCAACTAGTCTCTTTGCTAAGAGATCTTGATGTTTATGCGGTATTTTTAAGACTGTTTCCCCGGGATAAGTTTTATAATGGAACGGTCTTACCAATTCCGTTATGAATTCTAAACTCATGAATGGTATCACTACAGCTGGTTCTTTTTCGCCGTACGAGACCAACACTGCTTCGAATGTTGTTTGGTGTTGAAAAGTAAAAGTACTGCGGTTTTCACCAGATTTGCAGGATAAATATCTTCCAGACATGACAGTTGCAGAGGCACGAATAAGCTCGTTAAAATTTTCTGGGAGATTTCTCTTATAAAGAGATTTAAAAATTTCCTCTACTAAATAATTGTCAATATCGTTCGGTCTAAGCTCACATCCAATTAACATTGTGTAAACCAGTGTTACATACTGCCATCTCTCTTGCTCTACTTTCTTTCCTTTTTCTCTAAGTTCCTTTATTTCAGTCAATAAACAATTAGGGGCATCCGCAAAAAAGGCAGGGCCTTGTCCAGTAAATTTTCTATTTCCTGTGAACAAATAAACCGCTTGTGGAAACCCTATCGTTGTTTTTGTTTTTATCATCTTTTTGACTGTTTCGTCGTGAAATTTAACTTTGAACATATTGTCTTGCGCTTTCTCCTCTTTAAAATTTTCGTCTGTCGCATTTCTTGTGATGTCTATGTTTGTAATTTTGAAATAATTTGATAAGCAAGTAAACTTTTGAGTCTCATTCATCTGCAGCTCTTTTGAACTTATGTCTAAAATGAATTTTTCATTTAATATTCTGTGTTTTTCAAGGACCGTGTGGCAGCTCTGTCTAACTGTATCCCTTATGGTTATTATAACACGGTTAATTTTCATGTGATTTGCACTTGCATAGAGTTCTTCGAGCAAAGCAGAGTCTTGGTCTTCACTGAATCTACTATTGGTTTTTCCAAATATATCCTCAAATAAAATTACTAATTTATCATGGATCGAAACATTATTTTTCCATTCTGTTAGACTACTGAACTTGACCATTTTATAATCTCCATTCGTACAAACAAATAATCTCATAATTTCTAAGCTATTTCTAGTCTTTCCGGAGCCAGCTGTCCCTGTCAAAACCACTATACCTTCGGAATTAAGTAAATCTAGGCCATGTGATGTGACATTTGTTTCAACAAAAGTGCCTTCTTTAACATGGGCTTCAACTTCTGCACGAGTAAACTCTAGAAAAGCAAACATTTACTGCACATTTTTACAAGTGAGAATGTTACTCTGATTTGAATATTGTAACAGTTCAACGATGTAATAAAAAAGTGTAATAATGTTACCAATGCGCTTGCGCACGACACGTTTCTGGTACTTTCATGACAACAAGTTTGGAAACACCAAAAGATAAATCATTGAAGAACATATTATTGTATGTGTACACATAATGATGCTATATAGTAATTGTCAACAAAACACACTTTACCTCTGCAAAGGATAAAGAGATAAATAATAAAAAAAAAGTTTGTTCATACTGAAGTACTGTAATCAATCACAATCGAGAAGAGAGCTCATGACATTTATAAAAAATTGTCGATAATATCCCAGCGTTACACAATTTATACACTCATGAAAGAAATCATGCAATTTGTTTGCTATTTTGTTTTTTTCTCATATTTGTCTCATCTAGAATTTTTTCCTATAATCGATTTTACTAATTTACGAGCTGCCTAAAATAATGTACTAATAAAAAAAACTAAATTTTAGGATTTCCTATCAACATGCATTTTTTGGACAGAAAGATAAAGGTACCTTGTTTTAATTGTTCACCCTATTCATTTTTATTCTTCAGTGTATTACTTTTATGAAAAAATGTCACAAGGAATAAATTTCAATAATCTAATGAATAATACAATGCCTCTAGGACTAAAGTAAAAAACAACTTACCCTGAAATCCTTGTTGTTGTTTTTGTCTTGAATATTCATGATCTAAAAAAATATTTTGACAAATGAATTAGTCAAAGCCAAATGCAGTACATTTACGTGTACGCTTCTAGTATACTTATTAAAATATATCTGGAAAAGATTAACTTCAAAACGTACAAACATCTTTAAAGATAATTCTAAAGAAAAATATCCGTTTTCGTCGAGTTTTAAGCACTTTCTAAATTTGCCTTCACCAGCAATGCTCATACCAATAAGCAAGAAAGGCAAAAATGAGCAGTTATATATCCAAACGGGGCATTACACCAGAGGCTCTACAGAGTAAGTGTCGTTCACCTTGATCCATGTACATTCTCTACAATGGCTACTCTCCAAAATTGCAGATTAGAATATAATTCATGTATAAAATCTCTTTTTTGTTGATCTTGTCTTACTGATCATGTTTACTGTTTCCTTCAATATTCTATAATATTTGCCAAAACTGAAAAAGTTGAAGATCAACTTACTACTTTGGCGTTATTGACCGATTTGTATATCTTGTCTTGCTTATGTTTTTTGTAGATCTTGTTTTTGGTATCAGTTTTACTATTTAAAGTTTCCATCTATCTATTAAAGTTTGTGAAAATCGTCATCAAAGGGCAATTTCTTCTACAAGAAGTCTTCTTACAACGATTTCGGCAATGTTGACATATAAGTAGATCGTGTATTGCTGATCATTTTTGCTATTCAAAGTTTCTGTCTATTTATTATAGTTAGGCTCGTGAAGTTTTCTTAAATACCCAAACATATAAGCTGATAATATCAGCATAAACCTTATAATTTGAGAACAATGCATTGATAAATTTCTTATTCTTTGCCACATTGAAGTTCGTATCAAGCTTTCTAAAAAAAGGTATGATCAAGGACCTATAACAATCGTCAAATACAGATTACTTTCAATTATTTCGTTCGGGAGATAAGAAACATTGAATTGTATTTGATGAATTTTGCAAATAGCAATGTCTTCCATTTTGTTACTTCCATAAACAAATGTCTTCGTTTTGTCAAGATAGTGATGCTGTGTGTTACCAAGATATTCATTTCAAAAAAGTAAAAACTTATATCTTATACTAGTATATAATTAGAAAATCGGACAGCATGTAATGTTCAAATTGACCTTTTGCATGTTTCATTATGTACATGTATCAGTTTATCTCATCTATTTCCTTAAGTAAGGCCCCTGAGCATGAAATTGAACTCAATTTAAATGGTACATCTAAATGATCAGTTTGAAGAAGTTAATCAACAACCATCCACAGCTGTTTATACCTTTTCTCGTGTGTTCAAAATCTATCATTTGTGCTATGATTTTTTCTGTTGCTGTTTCCATAACCTTTTCTTGCTTTTCGAAAACCTAAAATTGAAATAGAACTATATAAAATTTGAAGCTATTCAGTATTTCGAAGAAACATAATTATAACAACTAATGTTTCGGATGTATGAAATTTATAACGTGTTATTTTCATTTTTTACAAATAGACTCGTGTTTTATCTCATGCCTTTACGTTGTGATGTTCTGAACCGCCTAAAAGTATGGTTGATGCGTATCAACTCGAGAACGAATAGTGGTTGGTTCGATTGTAATATGTGTTTGCTTCTTTTTTTCACTAAGCACAAGGCGTTTTGAACAAAAACCCAAAGTCATTTGAATCGAAATAAAATAATTCTCCCAAAGTTAACGTGTCTTCCTATAGACTGTTATTTGAATTCAGTCTACAATCGAGAATAAAAGCGGTGCGAAAATTTACCGGTTTACATTATATGTATATTATTCAAAATTATTACTTACTTTGTCTAAATCTTCTAAAAGCTTTGCCTTATACATTATGCAGAGGTCTTCATCAAATGAACGGTGTAGTGATTCATTAAATTTATCGCGCATTTCCTGATCCTTTTTGCAGTATACAGCAATGTGCGTTATGGCATCTTCAATACGATTTGACTGCTCTAGAAATGATTCATTAGTCATTGAGGCTTTCTTTGCATGAGCATGTATATTTCTCATATCAACAAGTTGGTCTACTCTCTGTTTTAAGGGACAGCACTCTGTGAGGATAGCTCTTGCCAATTTATCTCCCAAATGGTGTGTTTCGATTCCTTCAATAGCCGACATTGAACAAATTGCATCTTTTCTATTTTTGTGAGCAACGCATGTATTATTTTTGTCACGTTCAAAAATACTATCCCACTGGTCGACTGTGATTTTAATCATATTAGGTGAACAGTTAAAGTTGTTGTTGCAATAGCAACAATCACCACCGTTATTTCCCTTCCACATGTGGTATAATACATGCTTATTTTGGTCCAGAAATACTTTAAGGTTTATGTGTTGTTGGTTAAGACAAGACTGCCAGAACAGCTCATTACAGAAATAGTTAAGAAAGCATCGACAAAGACTAATGTCAAGATGGTTTGTAGTAAGATTTGGCACTGCTTTCCTACAACAGAACAGTTTGCCATTTTTCGATGCATGACCAGGTAATTTTTCACCAAATTCTTCATAGAGTTCACGTAGTTGTGATTTATTCAAAACACTTTTTTCATACTGAACTTTTCCGTTGCTGCATTGACAGCATTCCCTCTTGTTGTAACACAAATGGTATACCTCGTGTTGATATTTGTTCAAAAACTCCTCAAATGTTAGATTCGAGGATACTAAACTAAATTCAAATAAACAAACAATTGCGTCTTTTGAATTTTCTACCACAAGAATTGACCATCGAAGATAGTTTTCTCGTTTTTTTCTTCCCATTTTAATCCTTGATAAAATACCTAAAATGAAAAACTGATACTATATTCTCGTATTCAATTCTAGGAAAAACATACTAAAATTATCTACGTCAGACAACTTGTGATAAATCTTGACTTCACCGAATTTAATCCCTCTACCTTTCCATCTAAATTGCTTACATTAACTAAAGAAACCTTAATTTAATCATAAAATTCAAAAATAACTTTCAATTGCAAGCTCACCCCAACTGATATATAAAATATAATAAACATTCTACAGACATTCCACTCACTCTCCCGCAATTTATGAATATAATGCCATACTAAAAAATCATACTGGACCCACCAGTAAAATACGTGTTTAGCATAAATGGTAAATAGTTCTTTAATATTTGAGTGAGTTAGCTTCTGTTATGTTTACTGTAGTGAATTGACCTAATTGTTTTGTAGCTATCCGCCATTGACCGCTTGTAAAAGCAAGAGCACAAAATATTTAAGGAGCTTAAATCAGTGCATTAACATTTATCTCAGAAATTGATATTGCACTGTCCGGCTCCGCCTCTTGGATCATTAAATAATGAAATAATAAATAAAATGAATTATCAATAACCATACAAATTCTATATAAATTCAAATAAAATGGATACACAAAAAGTTATAAAAGCATAAATTCGGGAAAAGGCTTTTAATTAACTCTTGTACATACCTTTCCCTAACACTAGTCAAACTCCTAAACTAAACCAAAACCAAAATTAAAACATGGTTCTCTCAACTCGAATGAAATGAATGCCCGTGGTTTATAAAAGTAGAGTCGATACTGATGATTTTTTTTTATCGAATACTTCCTTGTAATACTAAAACATAAATACAGGTAAATACATACCTAAATAATAGTTTAAGGGAGACAATGTCCTCGATTTTTCTCCGTTTCCTTAAGAAAAAGGTAAAATAACAAAAATACCAAACTAGGTAAATTCAAAACGGAAAGTCCCTTTATCAAATGGCAAAGTAAAAAGCTCAAACACATCAAACGAATGGAAAACAAATGTCATATTCCTGACTTGGTACAGGCATTTCCTGATGTAGAAAATAATGGACAAACCTGGTTTTATAGCTAGATAAACCTCCCACTTGTATGCCAAATGATTATAGTTCCATTGTATTGACAAAATAGGGTGAGCAACCTAAACAGACATAAAAGGTTAATGTGACAATGATTTGTATTTCAGTTGAATTGTTCTGTATGATAAGTCCCCATTTGACAATTATATATTTGTCAATATGAGAAGAAATGTGAAATTGGTCTAGTAAATATTGTTCTGTACGTACTAATGGTTGGAAACAAGGTATACTTGTATCAATATCACAGATAGAAGAAACCAATCTAAACTCACTTTGAAAACAATCCATTTTAGTTCTGGAGTAGACAACCATACAATTTTACGATCACTAAGTAGAACCAATGTAACTATTTCATTTCTTGTAGACATAAAACAGGATTGATTACTTAACGTCTAGTGGCAAATATTTCATGCATGTTCAGGACGAGAACAAAATCACAATAAACATTTTGCCTTTCAATAGGCCACCTACGGCCCATCAAAGAGTTGTTGTAAGGGTTCATAACGTGCAGAGCATAGCACTCTCTCTACACGAGACATCGAATTTAACGACCCAATTCTGACCGGACCATTATTACCCCGCCAAGAGTAATTAAAAGAGAAACTGACTTATTACGGTTAGATACCGGTATTTATCGTGTCAGAATAAATATTCCAAAAACATATTACACCAGATGTTGTCATTTCCTTCACCTTACATTAAATAGTCTTTCTCTGTGAATTGAGATTTGTCTCTGGACCTTACGTAATCAACAAACAATTATTAAATCGTTTTCCTGTTGTTGAGAAAGGGAGAATTCATTCACAATTGGTTTCCTTCTTATCACAACGTTTAACTACTCTGATACTACAAGTCCTATTGGCTTTAAAAGCAGGTAACTTGATATAAATCGATTAAGATTTTGCCTCTACCCCTTCAAGAATGTTTGAGAGGACAATCATTTACAAGTATCTGAAATACAAATTCTACTTTTGAAAACATGTGTTCCATGTGCTGTGTTCATTTTCTGAAAATAAGAGCCATTTTTTATAGCATGTTGAGCGCTTCTATTTGAGTGACACATGTAGTACATGAAAAGCAGTAAAGTTTCATTGGTCAGCATATAACCTTTGACATGTGTCATCGCCCATTAATATTACCAAACATAAATAGCCACTCCTTATTATTAACTTATTTAATTTAGTTTCGCGAATTATATTCGTTAATTTGTAAAAAGAGTGCTATATTGAACTGAAGATTTTTTTTAAAGCACTATTTTTCATAGGCGTTTTCTTACAAACTCGTGTTGTTTTATAACTTATAGAACGAGTCTTACCTTCAAGATCAAAGTTTAACAAGACTGAAAAAGTTGACAAAGAAATTGAAGAAATTTGATTTTTGTTATCTTAAGGCCATTATACTTTTTTTGTAGTCAGATGAACAAATGTTTCGGTAATCGTATTTTCTATTTTAAGATATGCTTTATGAAAAACAGGAACAGGAATACTTTGCAAACTTACAAATTAAAAAAATGAGATACAGATTTTTCGTCCTCTATTGAATAAGTCTATTAGGACAACTTGAAAAATTGAAATTACAATTCTTATCTTGTCTACTTTATAAATAATATTAGCTTAAAATTCAGAATTTGAAATACCATGTTTATTAAATTCCTGTAGGTAGAAACACTATACTTTTAAATATATATCTAAATTGCGATAACATATGGTAATTTTTGTCCGAAATCTGGACCCCCTTTGAAAGATCTTGCATCCATACTCAGAAAAGGAAAATGTTCGTTTAATGATATCAAGTTTAGCTTGATGAGTTCTCTCATTGTAAATATTTGGGATTTATAATTCAAATTTTCTGATGAAATGACAAGCAAAACCTAAACTAAATTTATCATTTTGTTATGGTATAAACATGAACAAGTAGCTTTTGTTGTCATTACGCTCCAATAAGTTTTGTTTCTTCAAACCCATGATATATTTTAAAGTGGCATGTAAAACGATACAAAACAAAGTATATCATGAAGTAGATCGGTAAAACTGATTTATGGTTTTTGGTATTGAGCCAGCAGTTTTTCTTATGCGGAGGTGTGAATAATCATATTAGTTTGACTCCTGTTTGTTCTTAATATTAATAGTTGGTTGCCTTTAGTCCAGTTTCCAAAATACAGTTCTGTTCAAATTTAAAACAAAATGTGTATGTTAAGTTTTAAATATCATCTATAATATATAAACAGAATCAGAACAAAAAGAGTCCCCCCTAATTTGAGTAGATATATCGAAGCGCAGATATTGCTATACCAAACAATTAAATTCATTTAGACCTTTTTATTCTATCAAAAATATAATGTATTGATTAAAGTTAACGGACAGACGCAATTTTACTTCGTCAAAATTTTGGTTATACGACGCGCTGACATTTTAGCTCTTGAAATCAGATACATTTATTAACAATGATTGCATCATTTCGATTTCTACTAAAAGTTGTATTTTGAAAGACACGTGTTTCATCGTACTAACAAGCAACCTTTAGTATACTGGAAATAGTTGTTTGATTAGTTGTTAGTTCAATAAACACTTAAACAATCTATTAAAATATATCGTACAAGGGCAGAAATAAAAAATACAGAAGTTAAAAACCAGATAATTTTCAATTTCTGAAAAGTGAAGTCTGTCGTCAAGGGGTTTTGTGAGAATTTATGGGGTTGTCAGTGAACGGGTTTTTTGACTCTCTTTTTTCAAGTTCATTTTAAGGGGATAGGCCTTGATAACCCCAACTTGTTCTTCTCGTTTTTTTCTTCTTATATCTACAACATTGAAAGGGTAAGAGTCCATGCATCATCTGCCGGGTCTTGTTGAAATTCATCGTTGCATTTTATGTTTAGGGTATATTGAATATGGTCAGTTTTGGGGTACCCATAAAACGGTAAAAACACTATTAAGTGTGTTTTTGCACATGTTTTCATTAGGAATACCAATGACTAATAAAATGCGTAATAGAAACATATTTTAAAGTAAATGTGAAATTTCATGGTAATTTTCAATTGATTGATTGATTGTTGGTTGCTTAACGTCCAGTTGCAAATATTTCATGAATGTTCAGAACAAGAACAAATTATCAATAAATACGATAGGTAGGTCCTGTAATAGAGGCCGTCCGGGATGAAGGTCGGGGAAATTTAGACTGCCACTGGAAAAATATGGTATGTTGGATATGAACAGAGATTTAGCCTTGCAACAGACCACCAACGGACCCTTCAGAGAGTTGTTTCAATGGTTCTTAACGTGTACAGAGCTTGGCATTCTCTTTACACGAGGCATCGGATTTAACGTCCCCATTTTGACTGGACGTGGCTGCGAACTTGTACATCCCGCACACCTAAATGGACGCCCCACTTTGGCGAGAGTTTTACTGCCTGTCGGAGGAAGACCAATGATGACCATATTTCTATTCCCCAGTCACCCATGGAAAGGGAAAAGGGGGGGGGGGGATTTATAGCCTGAATGTAAATAAATTGGTTTCTCTCCCCACAGCTATAAAATGCCCCTGTCAGAAGACGCTAAATTCAATGTTTTGACAGTCTGCCACTATCTAAGTACTATCTTTGTGATAATGTAGATTATCTGTTAGCATTAGCTTGTACTAGGATGGGTGTTCAGATAATCTCATATAGAATATTGCTGTATGTAATTGAAAACCAAAGACATACAGTTAAGTGCATCCTATCAACCAAATGCTTAGCACTGAAAACTTATTACTTTATTATTATTAAAAAAAAAATTTAATTCAATTTTTGCCAAAACTTCCAAGATTTTATCTGAATGATGCCAAGAGTCATTCCAAGAACTCCTCAGTACATATTTTTTTTTAAAAAGCATTTCATTTATAGTGGTGTGAACATCGAACAATTTTCTTAGAAGCTCCTTAAAAAAATGTAAGATCTCATAAAAAAATGTAAACAACATAAATGCTTGGTCACTGTTTCAATTACTGCTAGGTTAAAATGCACAAATGACTTCCAATACCTTTGTAAGAGTTGTCTTCCATACCCCAGGTCCACCCCTTTAAGATTACTTATATGTTTAACTTTTACATAAAATATATGTCAAAGAAAATAAAATAAATTAACGAGTAAGTTTCAAAAGCTGAAGTACATTTAGCCAGATGTTTTTTTTTGTTATTCAAACACATTTATTCTGTAATGATATCTTATTCGGATTGATTTGCTTTTCCACGTTTGTATTAGATTTTGATTTTGAAATATTTCGGCCTCGATACATTTATTGTCGAAATGCTCATCTGGTGCAGTAGATTAGATCTCGTTAATGCTATTATCACATAAGTATTTCACTCAATCAATGCATTTGGTTTCAAGTAATGTGAATTTTCAATGTTATCATATCAACATTATAAATATTAGAATAGATTAATCTCAATTGGTTTTGTGTCAACGTTGCAAATAGAAGACTCGTACTTAATTATGCAGAAAAGTAAAAGAAAGAACCCGACTTTCTCTTCATTATGACCACCAGGATAGGTTTCCAAAATTCTATATGGTCTGGGGTAGTTCTGCAAATTACTGCTTTTAACTGATCAATAATTTATCTTTTATCTTTCTGTGGATTTGTTTTCGATGAAACATATGATTTTTAATCGTCAAGATCCAATTTTTATGTATCTACGGACATCGAAAGATTTGAGATCAAAAGTATAAAAGA